GTTACATCACTCAATAAATTGGTAGGATCATATGTAGGTTGACGACTACATATGATTTTTAAATAATAACACAAAACCTTAAAAAAAAAAAATTCAATACTCACTCAATAAGTTTGTAGGATCATATATAGGTTGAAGATTAGCTTAACATATATATATATATATATATTTGTTATATAATATATATCATCGCTCAGTAAACTTGTAGAATCATATATGGATTGACGATTCTATACGATTTTTAGATAAAAGTACAAAACCTTGAAAAGAATGCTCAATTCTCACTCTAGAAGATTGTAGGACGATATATAGATTTATAGAAATTGAATTTCTTCCACTTATGAAGAAAATATTCTAATATACCATGGGCGACGTGCCTTAAATAATACCAAGGGTCACAAGAAATTAGTTGGGCCGGAATCGCATATGCGGTTTCATATATCTTGTTATGCTTCTGAAACAGATTCAAAATATTCTTCCTAAAGCAAACCTGTAAATGATTTCAGGAAACGTATATACATTTTTTTTTTCCTCTTTACCTAAAAAGTGTTTGGATGTTAGCTGTGCTTTCTTTTCTTTCTAAGAATCAATTTAAATTTTATTTGGCCTTAGAAAATTTATTAATTTGTTTTATTTTTTTATTCTTTTTCTCTCCTTTACAGGCTCAATCTGTTAGTAATAATAAAATTGGAGAAAAGATAAATGAAATTTAAGCAAATATTTGCATAAAATTTGCAAATTGCATCAACAACACATTTTCAAAGATATTCAAGATTCGTAACTAAAAGTTTGTTGTTTCACTTAAGAGAAAAATGTCTACTTAACGATGGATTAAAGTGCATTTTATGTATGAACGAATACAGAAAACTCTTTTCGCATTTGTTATACACATATTGATAAAATATTTTTACAACGGCATCAGCATTAACATCAGCAAAAATCAGCAAAATTCTATCGTTATTAGAGATCGAGAACCCACAACGCACACAAAGTAAAATAAGAGCAGGAGGTAAGTAAATTATTAAAGAAATTTTTGTTATATAAATACTGGCGAGGGCTGTATTCAAGTTTGCCATTTGTTTTTCGTAATGGGAGAAAACTACCCAAAGTTAAGCTGAAGAAATTTTATTTTCTCAAACAAATTGAAATGTTTTTGATGCAAGTCTAGATAAATATATCTTCCTCTTTTGATGAATTTTAATTCGTTTAAGTGTTAGGTAAAAATAAGCGAAGAAATTTAAAACATGTAAATAATCAACAAGCACACCTACATACATACATACATACATATATATATATATATATATATATATATATATATATATATATATATATGTATAGCGAGATTAATACTCCGCACACGTCCTTTTGCTATCGCTTGTCTCCCCCCCTTTTTCTCCTTCTTTTTCTTCCTTATTTCTATTTTTGTCAGTGTCTTTTTCATTTTTTCTTGCTAAATAAGTAAAAGTTTAATCTAAAAACATTGCTAAAGTTCTCCTCCTTTTCTTTTTTTTTTTTAACGCATATTGACTTTATCTGTTTGTATACCCACCCTCAGAGAATACGAATACAATAATTTTGTCAATTCATTGGTAACACGTACAAATACGTTACGATATTCGGCACATCGCATGTAATCATATGCGTATCTAGATGTGTGAAGATAACCCCACGGAATGGATATATTTTCAAAATAAAGAAATACTTTCTTCTCATGGAAAGGATATACGGTTATCGCTCTACCTCTTACAAAAATAAAATACAAAAATATTTTATCTTACAAATCTCGTATGGAATATGAATTAGCATTTAGCATCGGTATGAATTAACTAACGGCATCTTTTGCTATATATATAGTCACTTGTGACTTGACCTAGCCATGTGTAATAAAGCTTCTCAATTTAGATAGAAAGTTAAAATTAGTCTTACTCGGTTTGTTATCGCGACTCTCATAGAGGTGAAGAACATGTTAGATTTGACGCACCATTCCTGACATAAAAGCGGGACTCTTTGTTTATGCCCAGAATCTGATATATATATATATATAAAAAAAAAAATGAATAATAAAAAAAAAATTTACTCAACTTTTTAAAAATTTTCCTAAAGCGTTATCCTCTTTGAATTTATTTACAATAATTAGGTTGAATAAATTGCACGACGATATCCATTTTTCTTCAAAGTATTCCCAACTGCGGTCGTAATCGTAAAAATTTTCTCCTTCGAACTTGTTCTTCTATCTCTTTTTAGCATGGGAATATACTGTGAAGGCCAATTCTTATTTTTCAAGGCGTTCAATTTTTCGTATCAGATAAAAATCAGAAAAAAAGGCGTGCATTGCTCCATGATACAAATATGAACCTTAGCAGATTGAGATTTTGGAAATGAGAAGAGACTTTCTACGCCATAATCATCTTGCACAATAGAGCAGAAAAAAGTAACAACAAAGAGGAAAACAATATGCCTAGAAATGTTTGAGGGTGCATGGCTATGTCAGATGTTGAGTATTCAAGATTCTCCTCAAAGGGACTTTAGCTTTTCTTTTTTTTTTTTTTATTTGTTAGTGGTTGTGCATTTACCTGGGGCGGTCGTTTTATTAAGCTAAGAAAGCGCATTAAGTCAAGGTAGTTGGAGGATGAGAAAAAAAAAAAAAAAAAAAAAAACAAAAAAAACATCAGCTTCTCCTTTAACGTATCACCTTTTTTCTCTTTCTTTTTTTTGTTGTTGCTTTTTTAAATTTATTATTAATTTTACTCAGACCACCCAGTACGGTACATGCTTATGCGTGTTGCCCTTATGATGGTATTGTGATTTTTTGTCCTCTGTATTTTCCCTTTTTTTTTTTTTCGTTTTTATATATATATATATATATGTGTGTGTGTGTACGGAATGATTTAGTATTCAAACCTTAAATTCTTTTTTTTGCTCTTAAGAGTTGCTTGGTTAACTTATGTTTGTGTTCAGTAAAATTTTTCTTTCTGTTGCTATGCATATCGGTTAATGATGTTCTTTTGTCTGTATAGGATGTAACCTTGATTTAATTATCATATACATACGTATAAAATGAATTTGCAAATTATATTAATACAATTTGGCTGAAAGGAATTTGAAATGTTTGAAAAAACCAAAAAAAATGCGTGAAGGCAAAGTAATAAAAGAACAAAAATACACATGATGATGCGGCGATGGATGATCGTGACAATTAAAAGCGCGTGAACCAAATGATAGCTGTAGGTATCGAAGAAAAATTTGCCGTTATACTTCACATAAGGAAGGCGAGAAATGGCGAGAATTTAATTTAATATTTAAGAAGAATTTTATTGATTGATTTTTTTAAGAGGAAAAATGTTAGGTAAATTGCAAGCATATCACAATGGGCATCTCACATACTTTGTCATTTTCAAGTCAAAAACTTTTGACTGATGTCTCAACAGGAATACAGTTTTGATAGTTCATAGGGTCTACGGTCCATGGGACTTAAGAATAGCACTTATATTTCTGGTGGGGAACGACAAAGTTTTGGTTTTAAGAGAAATTAGGTAATAAAACCAAAGTTTGATAAAAGCATGCAAGTATAAGCGCTTGCGTGTCTTACAGCATCTTAAGCAGCATCTTGAGCAAAGGGCGATCCATTCCCCATAAGCGATAATGAATACTCACGTAATTCTTCACCTAAGTCAAAAGGAAAAGCTTTCCGATATGTTAGCCGAGGAAGAAATTTTCCATTTTCTTAAGAGCTGATCTTCTACGTATGGGCTTTCGTAGTATGCTTGCCATGTATAACTTTTATCCGCCTGAGTGGCCGAGTAGGCAGAGTCTCGACTAACAACCCCATGATCATGGGTTAAAATCTCAAGAGCGGTGGAGCTTTCAGCAAAACCGATAGATGCCAGCGCTTTAAGAGAGTTTGGCCTTGAAATTTATTCTCTGACTATTCTATAAGAAAGTTGATGCGAGAATAACTCAAACAAAACTCATTAAACTAATGACCAACTCCTTGCAAGGAGGCCCCATATTCCAAATCTATTTCATTTTTAAGTAGATCTTCAAAATTAGGAGATTTGTTAATTTTCATAACATAAGACATTTTCATGTATTGTGGTCACGTTTTCCGTTCAGTTCATAACTTAAGCCGAACGATTCAATAGTAATTTCCTTGAGCAACGCTTGTTATTCAATACAAAATTTTGAAAGAAAGAAAATATTATAAGGGCCACAATTGTATCGCAAGAGCGGAGCAAGTAAGCCCATAGTATATGCAGCCATTTGCTGGCTGTCTGGATAAATATTACGTAAATTTATTAGTAAGCAAATGAATTTTTGTTTGTTTTTTTTTTTTATCATTTTTTAAAATCAAGCAAATGCTTACCATTCTGTTGCCATCTTAGCATTCGTCAGTGTGTAGTTGGTTCAAAATGAAACGCGAAGAAAGACTAGTGATAATAATAATAATAAAAAGAAAAAGAAAAATTAAAAAAAAATCTTTTTCTTTTATCTAAAATATTCATTTGAAATCCAAGCAACATTTTTTTATCTAAATTCCAAGACTTACTTCACTCTATAGAAAAAGAAAAATGCTTTTCAAAATTTCACTTTATCAACTTTACTAAGATACTGTTTTTACGTTCATGGTGTGCGGACACTTTGTGACTTAGTCCTTGCATAATGTCTGGGTGATGGTAGCATAGTTTTCGCTATTTTACCATATTGTAGACAAAACAGTTTCGGAACTTGACTGCTTTTTTCGAACACACCACACTTGCGATGGCTGACGGTGAAAAGTACCGTCATTGCCTTGATAGAAACCAGAAATAATCATGAACGATCTGAGAAAGTAATGACATCTTCGAAATTATAAAGCAAGTGTAAGTGAAAGACAAGTTCCACATGTTCAAGAGAAATTTCGAACTGTCTTGTCCTTTTTGTACTTTATGACCTATCTGTGATCTGTATTCGCCTTTGCTATGACACTCAACTGACACTCTATTCTTTGATAATTATATTTGTATTAACTTTCCGATCTTATATATGAGTAAAAAACGTTAAACGTTAAATATCTTGGAAAATACATAGTTTTTTATTTTCACACTTCTCCCCTTGTCACTTCTTCTGCCTTTTGCTTCACAATGAACATCGAAATTCAAAGTCCGGCTTTATAATAATTCCTTAGATTCGTATGCAAACGTTAAGAGTGGAGTTAATGCGCCATACAACTCTATATGGCTTGTATGATTTCGAAAACTTAAGAAGCGTTTCTCATTCATCCCCGATCCATGAAGTAAATGCCAGTTGGATGGTCCAATATTCAAGATTCATTTCAAGACAAACATGCCTATGGGCGGTATATTAAGTTTATACGTATATATGCAACGCCCAGAAACTCTTTATTTAGACTCGTTTTTTATTTGCGCGAATCATGTCCGCCCGTCTGTCTGTCCATATCATTTTGGGATGAACATACAAATTGAAAATTCTTTGAAATCAAATACGACGACATGTCTTGGTCCAAGGCCTATGAACGCGCTCTACTGAAAATGGATTGAATTGATTTTATACGACTTCCCATATAACACATCAGTTAATAAGTTCATAGCATGACATGGTCTACGGATAAATATATATGATGATGAGATAATGCCTTCACAGAGCCTTCAGATGAACTCTGTCTCCAAATGTCATGACATATCCACCATTAATTTGCAAGTTCACGGATCTAAGAGAAATGCGCGCCGTAGACAGGTACGATACCATTGATGAGTTGATCGATTAAAACACAATTTGGAGGGATGGACAAATTGTTCTATAAGAAAGGCATAGAAATGTTAGAAAAATGTTAGAGTGAATGTACTTATGTTTGAAATGAGTTATGTGTTGTATTAATCAATCAAAGTCAAGTATTGTTTAAAAGTTGTTGTTGTGCTTTATTAGTGAAGTTATGAACTTATTGTTTGATGTATGTTGTTACATGGAAGAATTTGCCTTTATGAACATTTCTGAAAAAAAAATCGGAGGAAACTCCTTCTTTAAATAGTTCTTCAAGCACATAAAGCCCGGCAAAGATGTGTAAGTCATTTAATAGTCGACCTTGTTTAACTATAACTTTTTCACTTACATAAATTCTTTAGAAACGCGAAAGAGAAAACGATGTAAGATTCTATTTTTCTATTTATATACATACTACTTCAGTTCAATGAACTGCATATTAAATCAATTTTTGTCTTTTTCTTCTTCTTTTTTTTTCAAGTTTTATTTATTACTTAGAAGAAAAGAATACCAACTAAGAGAGAAATATTGCCAATATT